CCGGACAGTGGAATCGCCGGCGGTCGACAAGGCGCCAAACTCGTTGACCAGGATGGGAAGCCGGGGCGGTCGACAGGGGAGCCGGTCGAACAGGAGGCAGCAGCAGGAGTGCAGTCGATAGGGGAGCAGCAGCCGGGGCGGTCGACAGGGGGGCTGTCGAAGTCAGCAGCAGGCGAACAGTCGTTTGAAGGGTCGAAGCAGCTGGTCGACGACGAGGACGTCGACGAGGAAGGGGAGCAGTCGGCGGGTGAGGAGTCCACCGACAGCGACGTGGTGGAAGTGCCAATCACGAAGCCTGAGCTGCAATGCATAGGTCAAGCTCGACGGCCGCCGGAGCGGCTGAGCTTCCACGCCTGCCTACCGCCAGCTACTTTCACCATGGTGAACGACGAGGTCGATGATGACCTGTCGTACGACGACGCCGAGGAGGATGAAGACCTACCGGAGCTCGACCCCGATGTACATGCCGACCCCGAACACCGCTGGGACATCGCCACGATGACAGTGAAGGAGGCGCTGTCGAGCTGGAAGGGCGAGGCGGTGAAGACCGCCATGGAAGAAGAGATCCGCAGCCTCATCGGTATGGGCACTTGGGAGCTGGTCGAACGCCCACGCGGGGTGAACATCATGAAAAACAGGTGGGTGCTGACGACCAAGTACCGCATCGACGACACCGTCGAGCGCGAGAAGTCGAGGCTGGTCGTGAAGGGCTTCACGCAGGTGTACGGCGCCGACTACGACGAGACGTACTTGCCGGTGAGCAGCTACGTCACTCTGAGGATCTTCCTCAGCATCGTCGCCGTTCTCGACCTCCACCTGATGCAGCTCAACATGAAGAACGCTTTCCTGCAGAGCTCGACAGGGTGCTCTACATGTACCAGCCGGACTACTTCGACGATGGGACCGGCTAGGTGTGTAAGCTGCTGAAGAGCCTCTACAGACTGAAGCAGTCCCCGCTGCTGCGGTACAGGGATCTTGACGGTGTGCTGCTGGGCGCTGGCTGGCAGAAGAGCCAGATCGACGAGGTGCTTTACGTCAAGGCCGGCGACGACGGAGTGACCTGCTGGATGCTGGTCTACGTCGACGACCTGCTCGCTGCCAGCAGCAGCACCACGATGCTGGAGGAGCTAAAGGAGCTGCTGGAGGCCGCCTTCAAGCTGCGTGAGATCTCGCCGCTGGTGAAGTACCTTGGGCTAGAGATCGTGCGCGACAGGTCGGCCAGGAAGCTGTGGCTGCACCAGCAGGGCTACGCCGACAAGCTGCACAGGCGCTTCATCGACGAGGAGCAGGGCAGTCAAGTCCCGAAGACGCCGTTCTCGGTCGACGCCTAAGCTCAGCTAACGTTCAACGACGAGGAGGCCCAGGAGCGCGAGGAGGAGGAGTAGCGGCAGAAGGTCAGCTCGCTTCAGTTCGTGGCGACGACGACGATGCCGGACATCGCGTTCGCCTGCAGCAAGCTTGGGAGCCACCTCACGATGACGAGCGACCAGCATTGGCGCGAGGTCGACTGCTGCCTCGCCTACCTCGCTGACACCCGCGACACCGCCCTAGAGTTCGGTGGTGGACCTGAGTCGCTGGAGCTGATCGGCTACGTGGATGCCGGCGACGCAGGCGACAAGCAGAACCGGACGAGCACGGGAGGCTACGTGTTCGTCTACGGAGGGGCCGCCGTCTCCCGGTCGAGCTCGCGCATCAAGTGCACGACATTGTTGTCGCCCGAGTCGGAGTACGTGGCGGCCGCGGATGCAGGCAAGGAGGGACGCCGACTTCATCTCCTTCTTGCGAAATTCAAGCTGCTCGACGCTGGGAAGCCGACCATCCTCTGCGTCGACAACAAGTCGTCGATCACGGTTGCTGAGGGCTTGGGACTGACGGGTAACCTCAAGCACATGGAGTGATGCTACGCCTGGCTGCAGCACATCGTGAGGCGCGGAAAGTTCGTGCTGAAGTACATTCCGACCACCGAGCAGCCGGCGGACTTCCTGACGAAGGCGCTGCATTTTCCGGCTTTCAACCGGTGCTCTGTCACCATCGGCCAAGTTCGTCTGGCCGACGTCGGCGACGGCGACGACGAGGTGCAGCAGTAGGTGTTGTGCCCTTCTGCACGTCTGGTGCGGTGACGGCGTGCCATGTGTGGGGTGCATGCCAAGGACGAGTTTTCTCCGTTGAGTACTGTCGTATGGGCTGGAGGCCTAAGCGTGAGCGCGGCAGGGGAGTATTAACAAGAATGGAGTGTTGGCCCCGCCCTCGCTTGGGCAACGCCGGCGACTTGGTCGGATGTACGGGAGGTCGACGGAGCAGTCCGTCGACCTGCAGTTCGACCGGGAGGTCGATAAAGCAGTCCGTCAGGCTACAGCTCGACCAAGAGGTCGACAGAGCAGCCCGTCGACCTGCAGTTCGACCGGGAGGTCGACGGAGCAGTCCGTCGACCTGACAAGTGAGCAGTGGTCGACGAGGAGGGACCTGGTCGTCGACTGGAGGGACCTGGTGGTCGACTAGAGGCAGTGGTGGTCGACCGGAAGCACCTGGTAGTCGACCATGTCGACCGGGTAATCTGCTCGACGAGTTCTGCGGAGGCACGCGAACATCGTCGAGGTCGCGATGGCGCAGGCGATTGCGGGCTGGTATCCCGAAGTCGATGTGGCTCGTAAGGCGCAGACAACAGCCGACGGATGCCCAACGAGGCAAGTCGGGCCAATCGTATGCGCGCACCTGCGAGCGTGCGCACTGCAGTGTTCTACGGGGCAACGCTGGACAGCCGCTCTGTTGCAGCGTTGGCACGCCGTCGACCTGCTCTGTTGGCAGGTCGCCTTTCCGTAGTGCTGGCGCGGCTCCTCTATGCAACGCTGGCAGGCGGCCGACCAAGCTGTGCTGGCGCGGCTCTTCTACGCAATGCTGGCTGGCGGGTGACCAAGCTGTGCTGGCAGTCGACCAGGCTAGCTGCAGGGTTGCTAGGTGCCTGATGTAGTCATTCTGACATTGCTTTTTTAACCATTCTGTAATTTCGACTTTGCTAGTGGAAACTCTTGCCGATTTGTCCCGTGAATGTGCAAGCGCTAAGGAACTATGCAAAGCTACAATCACTCCTAGTAGTTCGTGCCACCCCCGTTAGTCTAGCTCACGACCGTTGTCGAGTGGCTCTCCTCACCAGTATCTTGCAGCAGGTGCTGTGACTGGCCGACGCTTCTTGTAGCTGCGCCAAATCTGTACTACCCCAGGCACGTCTAGCTCATACTCTAGCAATGACATACACAGCAGATCACTAGGTCTACAGTCCATGATACAGCCCCTCTGCCACGTCTTGATGAAATTCTGTCGAGAGAATCCTCTTTCACACTCGACGATACCGAGAGGCAGCACTGCAGTCGCCACCCAGAGTCTGACGAGGTTGGGGTTTGCTTGCTGCCAGTCAGGTGTCTTGAGAATTGCAGACAGTCCCATGTTAAAACTTACGCTCGCTCTTAGGAGCTCTGGCCAGGACTAGTCACAGAGTCTGCAGCTCATTCACGGCACGCTTCTTGTCAATACCTGCAAGATAAGACAAAGCATGGGATCAGTAAAGGACGCATTTTCAACGGTCGAACGAGCCACCAATCATGAACTGACCTGGTAGAATCTCGTCGGAGTCATCAGCGCCAAACAAGCGACAACATCCACTCAAGGCACTGTGCCTGCCGTGCGTGCCTATCCCAATTCGGTTGCCACAAGTCAGGAATGAAAAAGTCGCACGCCGGAAAGAGAGTCGAGGTCGCCGAGCTTTGACTGGAGCTGTTGGACGAGGAGCTCGGCCATGTCGGCGCAGAGCGCCACACACGCGTCGTGATGACCTGGCCTAAGATAGTTCGCCAGTCTGCGCTCATTTAGGGCCCTTCGGCGTCAGCGTCTGTGGCTGCCATTGAGTCTGCCAAGCACTGGTTTTGCGAGGTCGAGGAGAGGGAGCCCGAAACAAGGGTTCCGGCACTAGTTTCCGGCGAGGCAATTGATGTGAAGCGAGAGAGACAGGGCACAGAGTGACCTCCAAGAAAGGCGACGATGAGGAAGATGAGAGGTCCTCGTATTTGGACCGCTCATCTCCCCGGTGGTCACTGCATGCACGGCACCTAGTCGTGTATGCAGGGAAGGTGGGGTGGGGTGGATGGTTGTGGTGTCGTTCGGGTGCAGCGCGCTGCGAGCTATGCGTTGGCAAGGAATCTTGCCAACACTGCCTGCTGCGCAGCCGCGATTGGCTGGAAATGAACCATATTACAGCATTCCTGTACCAATGCGAGTGTGAGGTGCCGCGCTCGGAAAATTTCGTTTCCCGCCCGTGATTGACGGTGTTAGTGCAACACGCCGTCAGGCTGGCAAAAACCCCTGCATTACCCGTTTCAGAGTGCACCCCTGATACAAGGCTGAGGCTCGGCCTAAACTCATAAAACTCGTCTGAAATTACAGCCAATACATTAAAAAAAACTCTGAAAAGTCAGAGAAGGTACACACAGAAAAAAAGCCGGAACGGACTCTGAATCAGACTAAACGTATGAAACCTAGGGCCCTGCTACGGGCAAAAGCATGACTGTCAACCAATTCAGAAGTTGAAGCTACTAATGTCATACCAGGAATCCGGATTCAGAATATGTTCGGATGAGAAATAACATGGTAAGAACAAAATAGAGCAAACGAAGGGAAATGGGAGGGGGTTTGGATGCAGTGGAGTGGGGTGAATTGCTTGCTTGCTGGCCGGCACCCAACTACTTCACCGTGGGTGCATCCTCATACTGCTTCACAGGTTCGCCATACAACAATTCATTCCCGGGCAGGAACGACGAGTCAGGGCAAGTTGTCGTGGTGTCAGGAATGATCTCGCTTAGCTGGTACCCTGCAAGGTACACCTCTTGTAGCGCCTCGGACAGCCCAAGCCCGGCGGGAAAAGTCCCTTGCTTGTTCCAAGATAGGTCCAGCACAAGCAGGCTGCGCAGATCTGCGATTCCCTCGAGAATGGTGTCGTTCAGGGCGTTGTGCTAGAGTGAGAGGTGGGTGAGGAACGAAAATTCCGCAACGATGGTGGGGATGGCGCCCGACAGCTGGTTGTACGACAGGTCGACGCGCTCCTCCACGCCCGCGCACGAGTCCACGTTAGGAAGATTGGCGGTGAATCCGTTGTTCGCTACGAGCAGCTCCTTGGGACACTTGATGATATTTGGCAGCTTGCCTGAAATATGGAGGTAGGAAGGGAGTGGGCGGGTGGATGGGGAGGGGAAAGTGGTTCTAAATGCGCGTGTATGACACTGTATGGGCAGAATCTGGATGGGCGCAAGGCATTCAAGATACTCGAGCACACGTGGAAGTGACGGCGTGACGTCAACCCTTTGAGTGAAAACATCTGCGGGTAGTACCGCTCAACCACGGGCCGTGATGCTACACGTCATACATACTCACCCGTCAACCTGTTGCTGCTCAGGTCCAGCTTCAAAAGCCCCGTGCTCGCCGTCACCGCCTCTGGCACGCTCCCGGACAGCGCGATCCGCGCTAGCACTAGCCGCTGCACCCACGAGAGGTCGCTTATCTTTTGCGGGAATCTTGCCGGACAGATGATTCCCGGTGAGGGTCAAGCTGCAGAGGCCTATGAGCGCCATGAATTCATCCAAGCCGCCTTGCAGCTTGTTGTAGCTCAATTTCAGCATGAGCGTGGACGCGTTCTTGAACATGCGGCGTGGAACGCAGCCGCGCAGGTCGTTGTGCGACAGGCAGGGTGGGACAGCGCGGCGGCCAGCAGGTCGGCGCGCAGGCAGGGCAGGGCGGCGCGGCGGCCAGCAGGGCGGCGTGCGGGCAGGGCAGGGCAGCGCGGCTGGCCAGCAGGGCAGCGCGCGGGCAGGGCAGGGCGGCGCGGCAGCTAGCAAGGCGGCGCGCGGGCAGGGCAGGGCAGCACAAGGCCAGCAGGGCAGAGCGACGGGCAAGGAAGGCAGCGTGCGGTCAGAAGGGCGGCGCGCGGACAGGGCAGGGCAGCGCGCGGCAAGCAGGGCGGTGCGACGGGCAGGGCAGGGCAGCACGCGGCCACCAGGGCGGCGCGACGGGCAAGGCAGGGCGGCGCGGCAGCCAGCAGGGCGGCGTGATGGGCAGGGCAGGGCAGCGCGACGGGCAGGGTAGGGCGCTACGAGCATGGTAACGCGCTACGGGCAGGAAACTATTCGATGGGCCCTAAAAAACGGTCCTGGAACAGGACCTACTCTGAAACTATGTCAGAACGATTGAATTGAGATAGAACTGTGTACAAGTACTAACCCTAATTGGATTGTACCTTCTTATGGGCTACCCACTACAATCTACACAAAAAAACATTATGAAAATACAATAATCTTATCAGAAACAATAACCTTATCAGGGTCCATTGTCAAGCCAATGCCAAAGACTTCACAAATGACTGACGGCATCTGCTGTAGAGGGTGGACAATGCTGCGATCAGATGTTGATCGACCCTAGGATCTCCGCAGGAAGGTTCGCACACAGTTAATTGGTAGTGGTGGGCCCTTGACCTCAAAATCAGAGTGAATGTAAAATGCTTGAGATGATTAAAACATGCAAATACAAAGGTATAAATAAGAGTAACGAGTGGAATACGAAACGACCTAAGGGGTACATTCCCTTATTACAACAAAACTCAACCGTGCGACCCCAGATGGTTACGAACTGCCTGGGTAGAATCATTGCCACTACTGCTACCTGATGCTGTCTGCCCGACGGTCCAGATCCTTTCGTAAACGTACGACCCTTCGCGTCACTTGTGTCTTTTCGTCTTCAACCTCGGTAGTACTTGTTTAGATTGCTGTGGTAAGGAGTGCACAGTAATGCTTCATCTTTTGCTGTTCGTAACACCCCCCTGGCCGTAGCAGTTCTTGACCCGCTTGACTACTCCGCTGAGTTCAGAGCAGTGCTAGTACTGTTGACGTGGCAATAGGTTAGGTCAACCTTGCTCTTGTTAAATTCGTCCTTGACGAAGAAGTACCGCAGCGCAATGTGCTTGGTGCGGTTGACGAAACCAGGTTTGTTCGCGATCCTGATCGCGCTCTAGTTGTCACAGTGCATGCGGAAGTTTGGCGAAGCTGGAGTTTTTGCTTCCTGCAGCAGCTCCTAAAGGTATAGGCCTTCGCGAATGGCTGTTGTAGCTGCGATGAACTCGGCTTCTGCTGATGACAGGGCAACTAGCTCCTGTTTCTGTGAATTCCAGAAGATGGGGCCACTGGGCTCGAGGCGAAAAAGGAAGACTGTCGGGGCCAGCGGCATGATCTGCATCCACGTAGCCGATGAGGTTGAGGGACGCAGTTGGGATGGTGGAGTAGCAGAGCCCAATATTGGGCGTGGAGATGAAGAGCTGCAGAGCTCGCTGAAGATCTAGGAGATTCTCAGCCGTTGGTTTGCGAGAGTACTGAGCCAACTGGCTCGCGATGTACGAGAGATTGGGCCTACAGGTAGCAGAGGTGAAGAGTAGGCATCCCATCTGCTGCTGGTAAGTCTGAATCTCAGCGGGGGACAGGGCTTTGTTTCCACAGGGCTTTGTGGAACCTGTCACCTGTGTGTGTCGCCTGACCCCGGTATCCAGTCTGCTGCTCTAGGTGCTAGTGAGTCTCCTGCTCCAGGTGCTGGTGAGGCTGCTGCTCTAGGTGCTCGTGCGTCTCCTTCTCCAGGTGTCGGTGAGGCTGCTGCTCTAGGTACTAGTGAGTCTCCTGCTCCAGGTCCTGGCGAGTCTGCTCTCTCTGGTACTGCGCCTGCTGCGGTCTTACACACCTTCACCCTTGACTCGGGTGCTTCCCGCTCCTTCTTTCGAGACCGCACCACCCTCACGCCGCTTAGTCGGCCGGTTGCAGTCTCCCTGGCAGACCCCTCTGGGGGTCCTGTCCTTGCTCACTTCTCCACCGTCTTACCGTGTCCGGCGGCCCCCTCTGGCTCCCTGTCAGGTCTGTACCTCCCCTCGTTCTCTACGAACTTGGTGAGTGGTGCTGACCTACAGGATGGGGGGGTTGACCAGTTCACTCCTGCGAGTCAGCGAGTGACCCACTGTACGTGTGCTCGGACGGGCCGACACTTGGCCACGTTTACCCGTCAGCCGGGGTCGAGCCTGTACACACTGACTACTGAGTCTCCTCCGTTTGCTGCGTCTGGTCAGGTAGCTGCGTCGGGTCAGGTGTTTGCTACAGCGTCCAGGTCTGGTCCTGAGTCTGCCCCCTGCTCGTGCCGTCTCCTGTCTCACCAGACTCTCCTCTGGCACCACCGCCTTGGTCACCACTCCCTCCCTCGTCTCCGAGGTATGGCCTCCCGTGTCCTTGTCTCTGGTCTCCCCAGGTCCCTCCCTCCCCTTCCCATGGGGCCTGCCCCTACCTGCGTTCCCTGCGTCGAGGGGCGGCAGCGCGCTGCTCCTCACTCCTCCGAGTTTCCTCCGACAGAGGCTCCGCTGCAGACGCTTCACATGGACGTGTGGGGCCCAGCCCGCGTCCGTGGCCAGGATCACGAGCGTTACTTCCTGCTGGTGGTTGACGACTACTCGCGTTACACCACAGTCTTCCCTTTGCGCAGCAAGGGTGAGGTCACTGGGGTGTTGATCGACTGGATCCGCGCAGCTCGTCTCCAGCTCAGAGAGAGTTTCGGCTCGGACTTTCCTGTTCTGCGTCTGCACTCTGACAGAGGCGGAGAGTTCTCCTCTGACCTTCTGCGAGCCTTCTGTCGTGCACGGGGTATCCGCCAGACGTTCACGCTTCCGGCCTCTCTACAGCAAAATGGGATTGCTGAGCGCCGCATTGGCATGGTCATGGACGTCGCTCGTACGTCCATGATCCATGCGGCTGCCCCCCATTTTATGTGGCCGTTCGCGGTTCAGTACGCGGCGCATCAGATCAACCTTCAGCCCCGGGTCTCCATGCCGGAGACCTCCCCTGCTCTGCGGTGGACGGGGAAGGTTGGCGATGCGTCTGCGTTCCGTGTCTGGGGATCTCGGGCGTTTGTCCGCGACTTGTCTGCGGACAAGCTCTCCCCCCGTGCTGCTCCGTGCGTCTTCCTTGGCTTCCCCCCTGACGCGCCAGGTTGGCAGTTCTACCACCCCACCTCGCACCGTGTTCTGTCCTCTCAGGACGTCATGTTTGACGAGTCGGTTCCCTACTACCGTCTCTTCCCCTACCGCACTGCGTCCCTCCCCCCGCCGCCGCTCTTCCTCGTGCCAGGTCCCCCCCCGGTAGACCCCCTTCCCCCTCAGGGTCCTGCCCCCTCATGTGTGTCCCAGGTAGACGCAGTCGAGCTTGTCGAGGTAGCTGTTGACTCTGGTGCTGCTGGGGGTGCTGAGCCTGCGGGTGCGGGGTCTGGGGGTGCTGAGCCTGGGGGTGCTGTCTCTGGGGGTGCTGGGCCTGGGGGTGCGGAGTCTGGGGGTGCTGACCCTGGGGGTGCGGAGTCTGGGGGTGCTGAGCCTGCTCGTGTGGCGTCTGGCGGGACTGGGCCTGGAGGTACTTCGGGTGCTTCGTCCCGGCGCGAGCCACTCTCTCCACTGGAGTTGCGCGAGTGGTTTGCTCGACGCTGGAGCCGTGCTGCTGGAGCTGGAGGTGCTGCTGGTGTTGGAGGTTCTACTGCTGCTGAGGGTACTGGTGCCGCGGGTCCCAGAGGTGCTCGTCCTGAGGGTTCTGGAGCTGCTGGGCCTGCGGGTGCTCCTGGTGTTGGAGCTGGTGGTGCTGCTGGCGTAGGTGCTGCTGGTGCTGCTGGAGCTGGAGCTACTGCGTCTTCTGGTGGTCCGGCTGGAGCTGGAGGTGCTGGGGGTGTTGGCGCTGGAGGTGCTGCTGGCGCTGGTGCTTCTGAGGGTGCTGGAGGTGCTGGAGTTGGCGCTGCTGGAGCTGGGGGTCCTACTGGTGCTGGTGCTGCCGTTGGGGGTGCTGGTGCTGTTCCTGCTGGTTCTTGTGGCGCTGCGCGGCCGCGGCCGTACTTCGTTCCGCTCCTTGAGCAGGTTCTTGGTCTTCCGCCCTCTACTGGTCCTGCTCCTCCCTTAGAGTGTCCACCGCCTGTCCAGTCCGAGTCACAGTTACAGCCAGCCTCCCCACTGCCTGCTCCTTCTCCCTACACTGGTCCTACTGGAGGTCTTGCTGAGCGTCGTGAGCCTGCGTCTCGTCCTGCGTCGCCTGTCCGTGCTGCTCGCACTAGTGGTCGTGGTTCGCGTCAGCGTCCTCCCCCTATCCCCGGCACGCACCGGATGTCTCTGCGTCCTTCCACTGCTCCGCTGCGTGCCCCTTTGCCTTCTCCTCCTGAGTCCTCTCTTCCTGTTCTTGCTGACCCGGAGTCGGACTCCCTTCGTGCTGCCAGTCCTACTGTCACGCGTCTACTTGCTACTTTCGTTACTGACCCTTCCTTTGAGTCCGCTACTGCGTCTTCCTTAGTTTCTGAGCTTGTCGACTTCGCTTCTCGCTGTCGTCTAGACTACGCTGCTAGTCTTGTCGCTGAGTCTGAGTCTGTCTGTCCTCCGTCCGTCGGGGGTGAGTGTGCCCTTGGCACGGACGTCCTTGAGGACAGGCAGGAAGAGTTCCAATGCTTTGCTGCTGCTTCACCTCATCTCGTTTCCATGCTGCTTGCCCCTGAGGGAGACCCGGATGCACTAGACATCCCGACTCCGCGCTCTTACGCGGAGGCGATAGAGGGTCCCTACTCCTCTCAGTGGCAGGCAGCCATGGACGCAGAGATGGCT